ATTGTGCCCCTCCTCCCAACCCATCTGGGCAAGCAGCAGCAGGGCATAGCCCACCACTTGCCCAGCTGGAGCAGGGGGGTGCAGGATGCAGGCACTGCCGTTGCTTGCCCAGCTGGGGTGGAGAGGCACAATGCAGGTGTGGCTCACTCCAGGCAGAAGGGGGCAAGTGGCAGCAGGGCATAGCCCCCGCTCCCAGCACTGCTGCACCCCCCACAACCCCGGCTGGGCAAGCAGCGGCAGGACCCACATCCTGTGCCCCCCTGTGGGCATGGCAGTGCTGGGAGCAAGGCTTTGCCCTGCTGCCACTTTCCCCTTTCTTCCCATAGTGAGCCACATCTTCATCATGCCCCCCACCCATCCCTCACCCAGGCTGGGCAAGCAGCAGCAGGGCATAGCTCCCACTCCCAGCACTGCCACGCCTGCATCCCATGTCCCCGTGCTCCCATCCCCGAGTCCTGTGTCCCCCCACCCCCCAGGCCAGCCCAGCCCAGCCCAGCCCAGCCCAGCCCCAATCCCTCCCTTCCTCTGGGGGCACTGATTTGCCTCCCCCATGCTCCTTCCCTCCCCTCACCACATCAGATTTACCAGCTGGATGCAGCTGTGTCCAGCATGGTGAGGACTGCTGCCTGTTTAGTCTATGGCCGAATCTCCGAAGCGGCACCAAATCTTTTCTGAATTGATTTGGAGGATTCCAGTTCTATTCAGACCTTTTTATTCGTCTCCCAATTCAATTTGGATTCGGAGATTCTTCCACCCTATCTCCTCTGAATTGAATCGGCTACGGAAGCTTCGCGCAGCCCTAATAGCTTTACAGGTTTAAACTCGTTTCTGATCACTTAAACCAATTTGTGTGCAACTTATGTCTGTAGCCTCAGTCTTTGCATTTACTTATAAATCTATGTTTTGTTTCCTTCAGAAGAACCATGAAGAAGTCACACTAAAACTAATATATACAGTTGACTTATAAAATCAGGCTCTGTACCAGATCCAGGAAGGGGGCAGAAGGAGGTGTGGCCCACCACTTTGGCTGCGAGTCCTGACCTCACTACCAGGCTCCTGCTAGAGCTCCGAGTGATTAGTGAGCTCTGAGCTCACCAACTTACCAGGGCAGGGTCTGGCTAGAGCCCTTGCTTTCACAATGTTCTGGAGCCCAGGGGGTGATCACTGGTACTTTCACCCTTCCCATCCCTCCAGTAGGGAAAAGGATGGGATGAGCAATGGTAGCAGCTCTTGCCCTCTAGACTCCTGAACCACATGAAACCAGAGGCTCTAGTTAGACGTACACTGACAGCTCAAATGCCACACAGCCAAAGGGAGGTGGCAACTGCACTGCCACACCCCTCTGGATCTACCCCTGGCTAGGGCCCTTAATGGTCTGAACTTTTCAGACTTAACATTTTTGCGCGTACAATAAAAATACCTTATAAGAATTTATTTGCAGTGAAGCATTTATTTTAGTATTTAGTATTTTTAACCAAGGAAAGGCTCCATACAGTTATTTTAATTTCCTGTAAGATTTTGTAAGGACAACAGCAGTTCAAAGTCTTTATCTGTAGTTGTCGACCTACATTCAGGGAAATATCTGTTTTTCCTCAAACTGAACCTGAAAATGTGGGTAAGCTTTATGTGCAGGATTAACTTATAACTAGAATGGTACAGTAATTTCAGTAGCTGTGAGAGATCATAAGAATGAAGAACAATGTGTTGTAATTATATTTCCTCTAAAACATACTCAAGCACTCCTTGTGAGCAGGATTAGAAAGACTGGTCACCCAAGCCAATGACATGGATGGCAGAAATAAATTAACTCAGTAACTGTCAATTATTATTTATGGATTTCTCAGATGACTGCTAGAATCTCTTTTACTTACCCAATAACTTGATGCTCATAATACTGCAGTGTCCTTTGGAGAGTCTGCCGTATGGTTTGAGGCTATAAAAATAATAATAAAAATAATAAAAAATTACTATCAGCAAATCATTCTAACCTAGCTCTCAACACCACATCTGAATTACCAATTATTGATTTATTACTCAATACATTGGGTTTTCTAACTTCACACCTTTTCATCTTATACCTTCCAGGCTCCCAGGGTGATGGATATGAAACAAACACAAAAGTACAAAGCTAGTTTTGTATTGCAAACATTAATATTTCATTACTCTTTCCATATATTTTATTTTGCCATTTAAACAGTGATGAATTTTGTAACTCGGCATAACTAATGCTGCCTCTACGGCAACAGAAAACACAGCTGGGCAAAACAAAGAAGGCCCTTGCCTTATTACTGATTTTCATAGACTATCACTTGTCACCATATTAAAGATTGTTAGCTTCAAACACCATTCAGTAAAATATTATTGCATTGAGATGGCATCATATTTTCACTAAAAAAAAAAAAAAAACCAACAAGGAACATAACTGTTTTGTTTAAAATTCTATTTAAGATATATCAGAAGTATATTTTTTTAATAAAAATCCCTAAGGAAATATTTGTTATATTCCAAATTTTCCATTCTCATGCAGTATGAGGACTTGAAAGAGATGTGAGGGGCTTCAGCTAATTTTATGCTCTGTCTTAATGACTCCCCAAACTACCTTTTTTATTATGAAGTGATATCATAGGCTATTTTGGTGACATCAAACACTACAAAATATAGCTGAGGTTTTCTTGGTATTGCCCGAATAGGTCATGATGGCATTTAATCTTTCTAGAAACAGGTATTTCTCAAATATATTATTAAATATTTACATTTTAAAAGGTTCCCACCCATCTACTGCTTCTTACTGCTATAGATAAGGCAACACTTACGTTTGTCAGACGCAGCCAATTTTGGATATTCCCAATTTGGACACAAGACATGCAGCTGGCTCATGGCCATGCAGGGTCAGAGTGTAACTAAAGCAACTGATATGCAAAGATCACTAGCTTGATCTTTGCAGAAATTTGAGATATTTCCCTACCCTTTTGGAACAATTTCCAGCCATCTTGAAAAGGATCCCATGCCTTTAAAACTAGGCATTTTTTCATTCTAAAACCAAGATGGAACTTTGAGTCTGGAAAAAAAAAAGGCAACTCCTTGCCAACATCAGGATTAAGAAAAGAGTCCAGTGGCAATTGAATCTTCCTTTGCATTTTCATCCCAGACAGGTCGGGATTCCCAGAAAACAAAGACCATAGTATTCTAGGATTGCACGATTTGCAGAAGCATCTTTTTCATGGTGACCATCAGGAACTCATCTGTCCTTTCTCTCTTTGATTTGTAGAAATGCAAGTATTTATGGGGCAACAAAACAGATTTAAATCTACTAAAAAGCTTTCTATTCTTCATAAGAATGACTTCTATTCCCAGCAGGAGTTAAATTAACTGACTTAGAAAAGCAGACAGACAAGTTGGCTCTTAAAAACCCCCCACCCGAGCTGCCATGATTTGCAGAATTAGAGTTAAGGGGCATCTATACACATGCTCCAGGGTGGAGTGGGGAGGGTCTTAATTAAAGCAGCTCCAAGAGCCACTAATTAAAGAGCCACAGCGTCACATGTATTTGGTGTCCCTCACTTCAAAGTGGCAGTGGGGGTGCTTTAACTAAAGTTTGTGACATGGAGGCTGCTGGAGCACATTAATTAACATGCTCTGACACATGCCGATTAGAGGACTGTCATGTATTTAGGTGCCCAAGAAGCTCAGACAATGACTTTCTTCCTATAGTCCCCTTAACCCACTGTGTAAACTCCAATTGCACTGCTCTCAACCCAGGTGTCCCTCCAGGAATGTCATCCTCTGAAAGATGGAGGAAATGCATACTGCCAGCAGCCTCTGTGCACTAAAATGCAGTTTTCTTTCTGGTTCTAGATGTTAGGAAAAACTCTCACTCGGTCTTTGGCAATCCTTTGCAGTCAAAGGTGATTGCCTTCCATGATTACTTTATTTGTGGGTCCAACGATGATTGATGAAGCCAATCTAGGGTCAACAGACTCTATTGCAACTTGGATAGGTGTTGTCATTTGGAGTGGGTGGCTCCAGATTCTTGACTTGGTCTGCAACTTGCTGTTTCTGCCACTCTCGCTTTTCCATCTCCTGTTGTTGCCATAAGGTTTCAAAGTACTGAGATCCTTGCAGCAGATTTCCTTCATTTGGGATGGTCCCACACGTTAATGTTGATGTCACATTTTAAGTTGTGCTCGAAGACATCCTTCTAGTGCTTTTACTGCCCTCCTCTTGAGCATACGGTCCCGACTGAGGTGGGAGAATAAAAGCTTGCTTTGGGAGTCTGGAGCCAGATATCGAGATGATGTGGCCAACCCAGCAAAGCCGATATTGGATCAATCACCTTGATGCTCATGGTATCTACTTGCGAGAGGACACTAGTCTTGGTGTATCCATCTTCCCACTGAATTTGAAGGATCTTCCACAGGCAACATTTGATGGTTCTTCTCCAACAACCTGAGATGTCTCCTGTATGCTGTCCATGTCCCAGCTTCATACTGTAAGGTGGAGATCACAACTACTTGATAAATCAGGAGCTTCATTTCAGATCTGATGTTGCAACCTTTGAACACCCATTTCCTCAGGTATCCAAAGACTGCATTTGCAGACTTGAGGCAATGTTGGATTTCTTCATTGATGTCAGCCTTCTGTGAGAAGCGGCTTCCGAGATACGGGCATGGCCATCCTGGGGGGAGGGGGGGGTAAGCACACACTACAGCATCAGTGTACTGGACCTCAATGATTGGCATTAGGGTGGTTTTGGTTTTGGCTCAGAGTAGGCTGAGATTAAACCGTTTACCACCCATTTGGTACTTTAGCTCCACTCCAACTGGAAGCTTGTTGGTGGTCAGATGTAGCATCACAGCAAGGAATATATAGATGAGTACTGGAGTGATGATGCAGCCTTGCTCAGCTTCCATCTACTACAGTAGCAGAATAGTAAAACACTAAAACAGGTTACCCAGAGAGGTTGTGGAATCTCCATCCTTGGAGATTTTTAAGATCCGGGTAGACAAAGCCTTGGTTGGAATGATCTAACTGGGGATGGTCCTGCTTTGAGCAAGGGGTTGGACTAGATGACCTCCTGAGGTTGCTTCCACCCATAATTCTTAAAATTTGTGAAGCTCTCTAGCTTAGAATTATAACTCTATAGTGTTTAAATTGTACGTGCTTGAAACAGTGTTGAATCACTGAGCTGGCTGATGTTTAAGTCTTTGTCAGTTTCACTGCTGCTGATCTGTTGTTAACGAGGCATACTTTTCTTCCTTCATATTTCCAAGCTAATTCTTATTCCAACTTGTCTGTGCATAAGTCATAATAGCTCTGTAAATGTGCATAGTAAAAAGGGGTTGGAAACTAATCTATTTGGGAGGAAAAAAGTGAAAAATAATTCTAAATTTGCTATTTCTAAAGTATTTTCCTTTCAGTTTGGAAGTTCTCCAAAACCTTACTTTCTTTTCTTAGCTGTCTGATCACAGAAATGTATCCCAATTGCGTATTCTCATTAAAAGCTGTGACAGTGAGGAGAAATCAGACCATAAGGGTATAGACAGAAGTGACTATTTTTGCCCAATCTGGACACAGAAAGTAGTCTATAGCTCTGGCCAAACAAGTGCACAGCTATGAGAGCTTCAAAAATGGCTAAGTTGGGTGAAAATCTGGCCTCTCATTGCATGAGGTATGAAATAAAGACATTTCAAAACGTAGCATCTTTTGTAATTTGTATCTGTGCAGCTCCCACTTGTCACCATTTTCAGAATGGGAGGGGAGAAAGGGAGAGGAGGGAGTTCAGTCTGTGGGGTTTGTCAGCCCCCTGGAGGGTGGGGCAGGTATACTGGAGCCCCTCCACAAGGTGCAGGAAGAGCTCCAATTCACCCACTGCACCTTTCAGAAGCAGCTGGGGAGCCCCAAGAACAAGCTCTCTCTGTTGCCTTTCCCCTCTCCCATTCTGAAAACAGGGACTACTTCCACACAGCTATGGTTGTTGCTATGGGAAGCTGGCTGGAGGCTCCTAACCCACAGCTAGATTCTCCTCCCCCCTGAAACTAACAGTGAACTTCTGTTTGATCTGGGGTAACACTAACGCAGAATGCCTTGCAGAAAACATTCCAAGTTATACCTGGGAGCTGCACTTCTGTCTGCACCCTGCAAATCAAGTCTTTGAAACACTGAGGTCTAATCACTTAACTATATTCCAAAACTGCCAGAAAATGGAAGAAAAGCAGTGAACTTAAGGGCAGAGGCCAGGGAAGGGCAGACTGGTAAAGGGAGAGGCGTTCTGACAGCCAGTCGATCAACAAGAACTAATGAAGGATTTACATGGCTTGTCTATACCATATCACCCATGAGTCCTAGGGAGGATGAGGACAACAATACTCCACACTCGCATGGCTGCAGGTACACTCCAGATCCAGAAATAAGTCAATGAGGCACTCTGAACTGATACCTGTAAACCTAGCCAAGTCTCATCCCCATCAGGCCCAAGAGTGGCATCACTGATGAGCTCCTGGGTTTTGAAGGTTGTAGCAAACATGAGAGGGCAAAGCATGATCACCTCATCCTAGACAGGACTGCTGCCATGGTGTAGATAGAAAGATACCTATGCTTCACTGGCCCCTAAGAATCTAACCTAGGAACAGGAGAAGAACTGACCAGGAGGCCACAGAGGAAGTCAGATAAGCTAGCTGTGTGGAGATGTTTTGCTAGTACTCCCAGCCCTACAAGCCTGAAAATTGTGTGCCAGCCCTCCACCGACCCCCAAAAAACTGATTTTTTTTTTTTTTAATCTAATAAAATTATGGGCTCCTTTTATGTAATTTCTTCAACCTAAACCTTAAGTGCATGTGGTTAGGTCATAGTCTCAAGATTTTCTCTAAAATTATTTGTTACAGATTTTTTTTTTCCATTTTGAAAAAAAACCCAGAAAAATGTATGCAT